CAGGAGAACAGAACTCTACCGTTATTGCTATCTATACGGACGAGAGTTTGCAAGTCTTCAATGGCGGCTCGGCTAGAGTCGACGAATTCGCTGAGCTTCGAATCGAGAAGGTCCTTGACAGAGTAGAAGGATTTGGTAGGTAAATCATCAACGGTGAGAATGAAGTGGAGGTTTTGATCGGACGGCGGAGGAGAGGTGGTGTCTTCGGTGAGATTAGGATAAAACTTTTTAAGGAGACGGCGGCGTAGATGGCGGCGAGAGGGAGGAGAGGGGGAAACTCGTCGGGAAATGACGTAGTGACGGTGGTGGTGGAAGGAACGACATCGCTCTGTGGAAGTGAATTGAATGGACCTGGAGGGCAAGATATACAGAGAGAGGTTCATGGCATTTGTGTTAAAGTGCAATTGCAAAAGGGAAGCTGTATTACTTAACATGCCAATACAAAAACATGAGAATGAGACAAAAACAAACACAAGTCAAACGCCTCTTTGGAGTTTGGATTGTGTTATGACCTATGTCATGTTTCTCTCTTTTTCTTTTCGGACGCTCCTTAACACAACAACAATAACAATCCAATATAATCCCTACCTTAAATAGAGAGACTATTTCCAAATAGATTAGACGCTCCTTAATAAATATATTAATTAATTAGATTATTATATCCTTATTTATATCTTAAGATATAATTACTTTTTATTGAATATTTATTCTGTTTATGTGTTATCTCCATATTCAAGAACAATTATTACTAAGAGTAAAAAAAAAAAAATTGTCTTGAACTTCTAAAATGATAAATCATTTGAGACAACTATTTTTAATAATCATGACCTTTTAGGGAAATGCTTTGAGTATAAACAAAACAAAATAAGTGCATGTTTGACACATTCATTGATGATAACAATAAATTTGGAAAATAAATAATGACTTCTTAGAGCATGTTTGGCCAAGCTTCTAGGAAACCAAAAGTACTTTTTTTCCTCCAAAAAAGTACTTTTTAAAAAAATTGAGCTGTTTGGCCAATACAAAGAAGTACTTTTGGCCAGCAGCAGAAGCTGTTTTTCTGCTTTTGGGAAGAAGCAGAAAATTCTAGCTTCTTCCAAGAAGCAGAAGCAGAAGCAGAAAATTAATTTATTCAAGACAAAATTATCCTCACCATAAATTTATATTTTCCAAATTATCCCTTATTAATTTAAATTTTTTCTTCTCATTTTTATTTCTAGTTTTTACCATTCTATTAAAATTAAAGATATCATAGATATGAATCATATTGTAACTTTTCAAAAATTTTATTGACATTTTTCGTTTTTGATTTTTTTCTTTGTGTAATGTCTTGTAACTTTCTAAATTATCTTCTTCTTTTTTTTCATACTGAAGCAAACCATCTGCATCCTTCTTTGGATTATCAATTCTCTTCCTACAAATAATTATTTATAATTTCTTCTATTATATGCCATTAGTTCTCGAATCTTTAAAACAGTTATCAAATCTTATTTGTGAAAATAATCTACAAACAGGTAATAAATTTACAATTACATTTCATAATCTATCTATATATTATCACAAGAAGAAGAAAACGCATCCGGATTAATTCAAGTGGCAGCCTCACAACAGGTCACTTTGCATTTTGGGACAAAGTTAGTATGGTTATGTAATAACTTTTTTTTTTAAATAAATAAATTATACATTATGTGTTGTTAATAATTAGTTACTCTTTTTGAATTAGAATTTAAGCATACTTAACTATTTCTTTTATAATTTTTTATATATTTAAAATTATTCCTATTTTATGTTCAATGTCATCTTTCAAGTTTGACACTCAGAATCATCTAGTTAAAACTACCATTGCTATATATAATTTCATCCGACGATATTCTTCTACCGATATAGAATTCAACTATTATGCTAATGGGGACATTACTGCAGATATTGATGAATGAGATGAGCCTTCTAATATTCCTTTAGTAACGTGAGGCAAGTCTTTTACGAATATGGATGCGTTGCGTGATAGAAGTAGAGATGAAATTGTTGAAAAATATTATCATGTGTGAGTGACTTTACTTATTATTTTATGATGGATTATCAATATAAATTAATTCATGGATAGACTTCTAATTTATACTGAATGATGTTATTTTAATTATTCATATCATCATATAACAATAAGTAATTATACTAGATAATATCATATGCTTTGGTATAACTATAATAATATATGTGAAATTGTCTTAAATATTTAATATGTTTGTTTACTTTATGTTTTATATTTTAATCAAATAAAATAAAAATAATAATAAAAGTCTCTTACGATAAATATTTAAGTTATTTTTCTACTTACAAAAATTATAAGACCTTGGTATTATCCTTTTTAGTAATTTAACACTCAAATGCACTTTTTAGAAAGATTGGCCAAACACAATTTATTTATCAAATGTTGCAAAAAGTAATTCTTAAATGAATTGACCAAACATAAACACTTTTTTTCCAAAAGTACTTTTAAAAAAAATATTTTTGAAAAAAAGTACTTTTCAAAATAAGCATATTTTGGCAGCTTGGCCAAACGGGTTAGTCTCCTAAAGTGACAAAGTGTCTCCCCAATATTAAGCAAGATAAAGGTACAAACCCAACCACTATATTGCACAATATCATACTTAAGGCCTCATTTGTTTTTTTTAAGATTAAGACGTCTGAATCTGAATACGCATCTGAATATCAAGATGTGTATTAAGATTAAGATATCTAAATCTGAATACACTTCTGAATTTATTAAGATGTGTATTAAGATCTGAATAGAAATAATTAAGACTGTTTGATTTTTAACATCTGAATGTATAAAATTTATCTTTATTTGAAAATTAATAAATATAAAATTCAAATAAAATACTAACTAATCTAATATTCTATAAATTATGTAGTTTATTAAAATATGATAGTTGTTGGTGGTGATGGCTAACGGGTGAATGCGACTAGAGGCAGTGGTTGGTGGTAGTTTTGGTTGATGATGGTGGTTCATGCTAGTAGCTAGTAGCGATTGATACTGGCGGCGATTATGATTGAGAATGGTGGTGGTGGGTGGTTATAGTTAATAATGGCGGGTGTTGGTAGTAGTTATGACTGAGGAAGGTGGTGGGTAGGTGGTGATAGGTTATAATGATGGACGGTATCAGCTATGGTTGTTGATGGTGATAGGGTGGTCAATTGTCATAGTTGAGGTGGATGAGTATTGATTGTGGGTGGGAATGATGACGGTCGGAGTGGTGGGGATAGTATGTGGTGATGGTCGATAATGGTGACAACTACAACTGAGGATGATGGTGGCGTGGTGGTGGTGGAGGTGGTGGTGGTGGGTGGTGGTGGTGGTTGAGTATGATGGTGGTAGTGGTGTCATGGTGGTAGTGGTGTCATGGTGGTAGTTGATAATGGTAGGCGGTGGTAGCAGTTAATAATGAATATATGATAGCATCTTAATGAAATTAAGTCTCTGTTATGGATCTTAATCATATAGACCTATTCAGACCCATTAAGTGGTTGTGAAGTAAAAAAAACAAATACACTTAATGATTAAGATCTGAATAATTAAGATTCAGACTTTAAAAACAAACGCACTTAATGTTTGAGATCTGAATAATTAAGATTCAGACCTCTATTAAGTGCAAACAAATGAGGCCTTATCCATGTCCATGTTGCGAAGCAATCTTAATGTGTATCATATAGAGCAACTTAGAAAAATTAACGTGAGCTTAAATAAAGAAAAATCAAACTTTCATATTGTTGTACTATGCCTAACATGCTTTATTGAGCCGATGGTCTATTGGAAATAGTCTATCTATCCTTATAAAATAGGGGTAAGGTCTGCGTACACAGTACACTCCCCAGATCCCACGGTATGAGATAAAATGAAAACTTTTGAAATTTGGTCCTAAACAAGTCAAAAAAGGGGGAGAAATTTAAAACTAGCCAGATTTTCAATTGTCATTCAAAAATAGCTCAGTTTCAAAAGTAATCGAAATTTAGCCACTTTTCATGTAAAGATAAATCTGAGCGAAAACACTGTTTAAAATCCGGAAAATACGCCCGCATATTATACGGGAGTTCCAGGATAACTATGCTGAAACTCTCATATAATATGCGGGAGTTCAAGTACAATTATGCTGGAACTCCCGCATAATATACTGGAGTTCCAGCAAGTATAAATGTCAAGTACAATATACTGGAGTTTGGAGCACCGATGCTTCAGTCTCCCGTATATTATACAGGAGTCATCAAAGTATACCGGTCCAGCATAATATGCTGGAGTTCGTACACAAATGCACTGAACTCCCGTATATTATACGGGACCGGTCTCTGCTGCAGCAAAATAGTGGCTATTTTTCATTGACTTGGTAAACACTGCCTATTTTTGATTAACCAGTGCGAAAACTGGCTATACCGTGCTATTTTGACCAAAAAGGGACCCAGAGTATTTAAGTGGTTATAAAAGCTTCTTATTAAGAGTAGAATTGTAAATTTAAGCTAAATTGTTATCAAATTTAGAAAGGAGATCATTCTTTTTAGAACGGACAAAAAAAAATAGGTTCACATAAACTGGAACAGAGGGAGTAACTGATTTGGTTGTCCAATCAACCAGAAAGATTGATCAACCTACGAACTGTGCCCGAACAATGTCCATTGGGTAATGGATCGACGAGATCAGACTCCCAAAGACCCAATACAGTCATTTATGTGCAAACTTCACTTGAACAACTGAATATTTCATGTGGCCATTCAGTTAAAAGAACAGAGTGGAATTTGAGCATAAAATACGACCTGTCCAAGTGAAAGACCGGATAACTATGCATTAATGCCCATACACATATGCATTCCGAGATTTTCTTGAAATTAAAAAATGAAAAAGTGAACCTCACCTTCTTAATTTGACTACGTTCTAGGCACATTATATCCAAATTCGGAGATTTTCACGAGGCAGAGATAAGCATAATTTAACACAGATGGGAAACTACCAATATTTTGAACCATCGTCTGCCTTTTAAACCAGGATAAACCAACATCCTTCTTGAAAATAAACATCACAAATTCTATGGCACAGTTCTATCATCAAAATTCACTTGATTACAAGAATGTATGAAAGAATTGATATCTGTCAACTGTTTACAAGAAAATCAATGTGTAACCCTACATGTCTTTTTGTAAGTGGTATGTAACTTATACAACGTCCATCGCACATATTTGTATTGCAGGAGAACTATATTGCTGTTGTCTACCTAAAACTCCTTCATCAACATATAGTCCTCTCCAGATGAAAGAATCCCGTGAAGCACAGAGGGATTGACCAAATTTTGGAGAGAAGAAAAGAGAAACAACAGAACCTTCTTCTTTATTTCTTCTGGATATTAATCTGAATGACCTCATATTCTACACTCCCTGTAAATGCTCACCACAAAATGCCCTAGAAATGACCTACAATAACAATCCTTTGGTAAGCAGCTTGTATTTACACAAGAAAAAGGTCTAATAACAATAAAATAAGCACCACATGAGATCAGGAATTGCAGATGAACAAATACTAAGACAAGCAGAGTAAAGTTCTCACGTTAATCTGGTGGTACATGATGCACTTTAACTGTGGATCATTCAATATAGTTGCAATCTGACAACATCAACGACATCATACTTTCTTGGTATCTATATCTATGTCTCATCAATATCATTGCTAACTGAAAGCAGCATTATTTACTGTACTCAACTTCAGATTTGGAAATTATTTGATATAAATAGTTCCTTAATAAGTACTGTATAAAATAATTCAAAAATTACTGGCATCAGTTGGTCGTCAAATTATTTGTTCTTCTTGTATAGTTCTTTTCATACATATCAAAATAAAAAGAAAAACAGGACATGATAAATAATTCCATTGGATGACCAAGGTGCCAACCAAACTACCCTAGTCTTCTTTCTAGTCCTCCAACATGCTTCGCAGCTCTACAAGTTCGCGAATAAGAAGTGCAACCAACTACCAAGAGACATCCATAAATCATAAAAACTCTGAAAATGGTCTTAATTTATGAGTATCTAAGTTAACAACTTGGATCAGAAAGTATAGAGACACTAGCAGACTTACAGTTCAAATAACTTCATCTTGGAAGAAGTGGCTGTCTTTCATCAGGTCCTACTAGATGACTAGCCTGGAAAAGAAATTAATATGAAATCTGATCTTAGGAAATACAGAGAAAACTTGGCATCTATAAATTTCTGATAAATAAATCCATACCTCCTCATTTGCTCCTGCTGCCATATTTACGAAGGATGAATCTTTAGAGCTGAAAAACAACAGAAAAGGGAAGTATTAACAGATGCATCTTTTTAAACTTTGGAGGTGAGTAGGGGTTACGAGGGGGTGAACATGCATCTCTGTGATGTACACCTAAAAAATTTAGCATTTAGTTCAGATCCATCTTTTAATAGATGGATTTGATGTTACGGTTGGCACTTGGCAGATAGCAGGTGAAGCTTTCTGGCCAACTCAAAGCAAGGAGAAAAAATTGCACAATTGAGGTCTCATGAAGTAGTTACCAGCCTAAAAACAGAAGTTATTTGAATGCTTCTGTACATAGTATGGACAATGCTAATCATCACCTAATAGTAATTGAAGTATGGTTTGTTGTCTTAGTAAGTGAAGCTGGGACATATCTTGCATGGCAAAGGAACTTATGCCAATAATAACTTGTAACTTTTTTTTTAATTATTTTGAGAAAAAGGGTCGTGCATTCGTTATATCAAGCAACAAGGAGATAATACTTGCAGAAATAGAAAAAAAAGAGACAGAAGCAGCCCTTCAGCTACGCAGGGAGCTATAAATTCATACACATTCTCTAAATTGGTTACATCTGAACTTTGACACTTAAAAGTACAAAAAATTAACGACAAGAGAACTTCAATGATATGATATAAACTTAAATTACACGATATAAGTCGCATCATAGAGAAACTATCAGTGTTATTCAACCCTCTTGGGTGGAGTAGCAGCTGAATTAGGTGCAGAACTACATCCGCTATAAGTGGCTATAGTTGGATTATCATGTTACTCATTCCACCAGACAAACATTTTAAACGAACAGACATACCAGGAGCAAGCCATCACAACCTGCTTCCTATCACATACTCAGTATGCATATATAAGAACGAACATAGGATACAGAAAGCATTATTCTAAGAACCAGTAGCTGACAAGGAAAGACAACTTACAGCTGAGACATAATTCTACATTATACTTAACAGGTAAAGTAAGTACCTATGCTTCTCCCCGACATCAATCAACTCCAATGTCCCATTGTGTTGGTCATCTTTAACTTTTGCAAGAGGTGAAAAGAACTGAAGTATCAAAGTTATATGGTGTTATATGGTCAGTCCAAAGAGAAAAAGGGAAAATATCAAAGGGACAACTCTCTCAATTTTAGTACCTGGTGCATTGAGATGAAAACAACAGAAATCCCAAGAAGAAAGTTTATGGTCAGTGTATGACCAAACAACAAAGCAGATGCTATGCCTGTAAATATCGTTGCAACGGTCGACGAATACTTCTTCAGAATCGTATCTGGTATAAACAAATTGTGTTATTGAGTAGAATACCATTAAGGAAAATTTTCTTGTTAAAAGTAGGAGATGGCTTAGAGCTAAATACAAATATATTATAATCCCATTAATGGAGGATATGATGAGCCAAAAAGAAAGGGTGGAGCATATTGAGTAGATAATCTCACCAGCATATTTGAAAAAAAAGGAAGACAGAATTCCTTGTGCCGCGTTGTTAACAATTAGAAGCATGGTTGCCTTTGAATGCCCCTCAAATATATCCAAGCTACTAGGACCTGAAAAATTCAGAAGAAACATTTCAGGGGCTGGAGGAATATTGTCCAACAAAGGCCTTGCTCTGAAGTAAGATCATTTTTTGATTGGTAGTCTGAAGTAGGATTGGCTTCATCCATGATCTCATATGTTGCCACTTCAATTACCTCTATGGAAAAACCAGCATGGGATTTTGTTTACCACAATTTTCCTAATGTATTTCAGAGAAGTTTTTTAAAACAAGGGCAGAACTTTTGCACAGGTTACAAACATAGACATATATGTCATCATGAGGTTCCCTATAACCACTCCTATCAAAGTAGATATATACACCTGATTGCTTCCCTACCTATAAAACATTGTATTTACCATTAAGGGGTCGTTTGGTAGGGTGTATAAGAATAGTACGGAATAAGGTGTATTAGTAATGCATGAATTATGAATGCATGGGTTAGTAATGCAAGCATTAGTTATGCAGATACTATTTCTAATCTACTGTTTGGTGTGGTGTATTAAAATTATAATGCATTGCATAATTTTTAAGAAAAATAGCGGTTTACAAAAATGCCCTCTCTATTCTGTAGCTTTAAGGGACTTTAAGGAAAATTTTGTGTTTAACCATACTAATGCACGCATTAATAGCCATGGTATTACTAATGTCATGGTTTTCTATGCATTACTTATACATAGGATAATACCAAGTATGATGTATAACTAATACAAGTATTAGTTATATTAGTTATACACAGGTTGAAAAAATGTACCAAACAAGATATTATTAATGCATAGAGCTAGTTGTCACGGGCTTAACTCAAACAAGACCGTGAGGACAATCGGACAGCGTATCTGCTGCTCCAACTTCAGTCCCTAACGAAATATCAAGCACGTAACTCGTGCTTCAACCAAAGGCAAACACACAAACACACAATTTCTGGAAAAACGATGAAGTAAAGGGCAAACAAGAGTTGGAGGCCAAGGCCAATTTTCTGATTTACTTGATAATACAAGGGAAAATACAAAGTATGTGAGATGCCTCTACAAAAACGCCCCAGTATAGGCATATATACGGATCAGATCCTACTTAATCTCAACTATTACGGAAGACTAAGGAAAAGGGGCACATGGGTTGGCTACCTAACTTGGAAAAACAGGTTTTGGGTTGGCAGCTTGTCTTTGACAAATGGTGCTGCTGTCTTTGACATGGTGTAGGCTGTCAGCTGCCTTTGACTATCTTCACTTCCACATGTGCTGCTGCCCCCTTGCATGAAATGCATGGCAGACTTGTCCTTGACTTGGGCAACCATGTTGAATTCGAAATTGGGCACCTTAGGTAGGAAAATCAGTAACGAATTTGGCGGGTCGGTACACTCTCCCCCACTTGAAATGGCGACGACCGTGGCGCCACAAAGTTTCAAGTAATCATGGACTTGATCCTTGAATTGCCATAGATCCTCATATTTTTCCCATGACGCCTCCTCGGGTGATTGCCCTTTCCAATGGACAAGAAATTGGGCACTAGAATTGCCCCAACCTTTGCCTCGGACCAATTGATGATCAATGATCGCCTCAATTTTCTTGTCAATGGCAGCAGGAGTAATGAAAATTTGAGCACGGCTGGACTGCCCCCGCTCTGCATCATCCTTGTCTTCATGGTATGGCTTGAGCTGGCTAGCATGGAAGACGGGATGAATCTTCAAATGATGAGGCATGGCCAGCTTAAAGGAAATCTTGCCCAACTTTCGCAGTGATTTCAAATGGCCCCTCGTAGCGCCGAATTAGGCTTTGATTGACGCCTCTCAATGACTTGAACTGCCGGGAATTAAGTTTCACCATCACCTTATCCCCAATTCTGTAGTTCACCGGACGCCCGTTTCGATCAGCAAACGTTTTCATCTTGCGGGCTGCTTTGTCGAGATATGATCTTGCCATATCCACCTGTTCTTCCCAAGCTTTAGCCATATGAAACGCCCTGGTTCTTTACCTCTGCACTTACAAGCAAAGATTGAGGCATGTTAGGCTGCTGTCCCGTTGCAAGCTCAAAAGGACTCCTTCCGGTTGATTCGCTATGCTGCAAATTATACGAAAACTGGGCAGTATCAAGCAACTTCGCCCAGTCCCTTTGATTAGCACTAACAAAGTGCCTCAAGTATAGCTCCAAGAGTGCATTGATCCTCTCCGTTTGGCCATCCGTTTGCGGATGAAAACTAGTGGAGAAGTGCAACTCCGATCCCAACAAGTTGAGCAGCTCTCTCCGAAAAGCACCGGTGAAGCGGGGATCACGATCGCTTATGATGTGCTTTGGAATACCCCAATGCTTTACTACGTCCCTTAGAAACAAACGTGCTGCCTCCTTGGCTTTACAATTCGCGGTAGCAGCAGTAAAGGTTGCATACTTTGAGAATCTATCGACCACTACCATGATAGTGCCAAAGCCCTCCGAGTTTGGCAAACACGTAATGAAATCCATCGTGATGCTGTCCCATGGCCTTTCCGCTATTGGCAAAGGCTCAAGCAAGCCTCCCGGTACCTTGTGTTCAACTTTATCTTGTTGGCACACAAGACATATTCGGACGTAAACCTCAATATCATCCCTCATTTGCGGCCAATAATATGATGCCTCCAATAACGCCAAAGTGCACTTTTGGCCTGGATGTCCTGCCCAAACAGTGTCGTGTCCCTCTTTGATCAATGTGCGCCTAAGGTTGCCCCACTTAGGCACAAATACACGCCTACCGGTAGTATAAAGAAGACCATCTTCAACCCAAAACTTCTTTGTCTTGCCTTGGCTGGCCAAGTCAAGAAGTTGCTTCGCTACCGGATCATGCTGCATCCCTTCTTTGATTGCATCAAGGATATCGCTGCTGGTGGTGCTAACAATAGGCGCTAGCACTGCCTTCCGACTCAACGCGTCGGCAACAACAATGGCTTTCCCCGGCTTGTACTCCAAAGTATAATCGAACTCCGCCAAGAAGTCCTGCCACCGTGCCTGCTTAGGTGACAGCTTCTTTTGGGACTGGAAATAACTTGTCGCCACATTATCTGTTTTGACAATAAAATGAGCTCCCAACAAGTAATGACGCCGGGTTCTAAGACAATGAACCACTGCCGTCATCTCCTTCTCTTGGACAGTATAACGACGCTCGGCATCGTTCAATTTTTTGCTCTCAAAAGCAATTGGATGGCCTTCTTGCATTAGGACACCCCCAATAGCAAAATCTAATGCATCCGTGTGCACTTCAAAGACTTTAGAAAAGTCGGGCAATGCCAAAACAGGCTCCTCCGTAATTGCTAATTTCAGACCCTTGAATGCGTCTTGACATGAATCAGTCCACTCCCAAGAATGGTCATTCTTCAGCAAATCTGTGAGTGGAGCCGCAATTGCTGAATAGCCAAAGATGAATCGCCGGTAATAATTGGCAAGGCCAAGAAAGGACCGCAACTCGGTTACCTTTGTTGGGGCCTCCCAATCTCTGATCGCCGCGACCTTGTTGCTATCCATCCGAATCTGTCCTTGACTGATCGTATGCCCCAAAAATTGCACATGGGGCTGGGCAAAAGAACACTTCTCCCTCTTCACGAACAAGTCGTTTTCCCTTAGAATTTGGAAAACTTTGCGGAGGTGTTCAAGATGTTCCTCCATACAGCTGCTATAAATCACAATGTCATCAAGATAGATGACTACAAATTGATCCAAAAACGGGTGGAACAACTTGTTCATCAATGTGCAGAAAGTTGTGGGTGCATTAGTTAAGCCAAACGGCATCACCAACCACTCAAAGGCTCCATAACGGGTCACACAAGTCGTCTTTGGCTCATCTCCCTCGGCTATGCGAACTTGATAGTATCCTTTGCTCAAATCCATCTTGCTAAACACCTTGGCTTGGACAAGACGATCAAATAAATCTGCTATCAACAGGATTGGATATTTGTTCTTTACCGTGACTTTGTTGAGAGCACGATAGTCTATGCATAACCGCAACGACCCATCTTGCTTCTTTTGGAACAAAACTGGTGCTCCAAATGGTGCCTTTGACGGCCTAACATGTCCCGCCTCGAGCAGCTCCTTTAATTGCTTCCTCAATTCCTCCAATTCTGGAGGTGCCATGCGATACGGACCCATGGCAGGTGGCTTTGCTCCCGGAATTAGCTCAATCTGATGATCAACTTCCCTACGTGGTGGCAAACGTTTGGGAAGTTCTTCGGGCATAACGTCCTTGTTCTCAAAAAGAACTTGCTGCACACATGGGGGTAAGGTTTCATCAACCTTGTCCTCCTCGATCTCAGTTACAGCAGCTAAGAACGTGGCTTCACCTCTCTTAAAGCCTTTCACAATTTGCATTGCGGATAACTGACCCACAACTTGCGGCACGCGAATTGTTGGTACCACACAAGGACCCCTCGGATCCCAAATATAAATCTGGTTTAGACTAGGGGAAATAAACGCCATGATTTCATCCCAATAGTCTAAACCCAACACCAAATCAAATACGTCCATGGGAGTGACGAAGAAACTCACACTCCCCTGCCAAGCACCCAGAGTAGGACAATCCTTGTAGAAATGGCTGGGGTCCTTGCAAAGATAGCAGCCATTGTGCGGACCATTTGCCTCCTTCATTTCATTGTACCTGTCGCGCCAATGAGAATTTCTGTTGCCTTCTCCTTTGAAATCACGACTAGGGCCAGCATCTTGCTTGCCTTTGTCACGATATGCACGATCTCCTCCAGGTTTAGTTGGCTTGCCTTTGGTAGCTTCTGTCATAAATTAGTTAAGGACTCCGCTACAGCTATGGCTTCATCAACGTCTTTGACTTGACGTCGCTACAACTCTTGTTTGGCCCAGCCTTGAAGGCCGTCCATGAAATAAAACAACAAATCCTCACTAGACATGTTGGGAATCTGCAAAATGAGTTTCGTGAACTCCTTCATGTACTCACGAATGGAAGTTGTCTGCTTAAGCTCTCTCAACTTCCGACGAGTCTCGTTGACAACGTTTTGGGGGTAGAACTGGCGCTTCAGCTCATGAACTGATCCTAGCTCTTGATGGAGCAAATACCTTTCTCCATATCCGCCTCCACCAAAGCATGGCGGTGTCGGTAAGATACATAGTTGCTGCACGAACCTTGGCAGCCTCATCCACTATGTTGAGGTGCTCAAAGTAGTCTTCCATTCTCCAAAGTAAGTTCTCTACGTCTTGAGCGTTTCGGTCGCCCCTAAACTCCTTCGGCTTTGGGCCCTCGATCTTGGTTTCGCACACAGTAACATGATCAGTACGCTCAGTTAACCTTGCTGCCTTCAGTTGTTGCTTTAGGGCTTCAACTTCCCCATGCAATGCCGATACAGCCTCGGTTAGTTTAAGCTCAAGGTTGGTCAGTCCATCCTTGTGCTTACCGGTTAAGCGATCCAAAGTCTCCTTGACATCTCCCAGTTCTTCTAAAGCTGTAGACTCAAGCGAGGTGAAGTTATCTTCAGTAACTTCAAGGTGTTGGTTTGAAGCGTTTAAACCAGCCTCAAATATATGGACTCGCATTTCTATCGGGAGTGCAGCCAAACCTCCGTCCGCACCAGGATCAACTTGTTGTGCGGGCAGCACTTCGCTAGTTGATGCTACGTTGGGATCTCGCACTTTGCTTGACCCTATCTTCTTTGGCTTTTGCCTCTTTGTGGGAGACTCATCTCTCCCACGCATGTTGCCTAAAGCATCGTCTCCTTCGTTGGCCATGTCCCCCGCCTTCGCTCTGATGCAAGTTGTCACGGGCTTAACTCAAACAAGACCGTGAGGACAATCAGACAGCGTATCTGCTGCTCCAATTTCAGTCCCTAACGAAATATCAAGCACCTAACTCGTGCTTAAACCAAAGGCAAACACACAATTGCTGGAAAAACGATGAAGTAAACGGCAAACAAGAGTTGGGAGGCCCAAGGCCAATTTTCTGATTTACTTGATAATACAAGGGAAAATACAAAGTATGTGAGATGCCTCTACAAAAATGCCCCAGTATGGGCATATATACGGATCAGATCCTACCTAATCTCAACTACTACGGAAGACTAAAGAAAAGGGGCACATGGGTTGGCTACCTAACTTGGAAAAACAGGTTTTGGGTTGGCAGCTTGTCTTTGACAAATGGTGCTGCTGTCTTTGACATGGTGTAGGCTGCCAGCTGCCTTTGACTATCTTCACTCCCACATGTGCTGCTGCCCCCTTGCATGAAATGCATGGCAGACTTGTCCTTGACTTACGCAGCCATGTTGAATTCGAAATTGGGCACCTTAGGCGGGAAAATCAGTAACGAATTTGGTGTACCGACCCGCCAAATTCTGCATCAATTTGTCCGCCCGACACAGTAGTTTGTCCGCCCGACATGGTCAAATTCACACCCGCCATAGCTACCCAAGCCAAGGACAAGTCTGCCATGCATTTCATGCAAGGGGGCAGCAACACATGTGGGAGTGAAGTCAGTCAAAGGCAGTGGGCCAGCCTGCACAATGTCAAAGACAAGCTGCCAACCCAAAACCTGTTTTTCCAAGTTAGGTAGCCAACCCATGTGCCCTTTTCCTTAGTCTTCCGTAGTAGTTGAGATTAGGTAGGATCTGATCCGTATATATGCCCATACTAGGGCGTTTTTGTAGAGGCATCTCACATACTTTGTATTTTCCCTTGTATTATCAAGGGAATCAGAAAATTGGTCTTGGCCTCCAACTCTTGTTTGTCCTTTACTTCATCATTTTTCCAGCAATTGTGTGTTTGTGTATTTGCCTTTGGTTTAAGCACGAATTAGGTGCTTGATATTTCGTTAGGGACTGAAGTTGGAGCAGCAGATACGCTGTCTGATTGTCCTTACGGTCTTGTTTGAGTTAAGCCCGTGACAACTGGTATCAGAGCGAAGGCGGGGGACATGGCCAACGAAGGAGACGATGCTTTAGACAACATGCGTGGGAGAGATGAGTTCCCACAAAGAGGCAAAAGCCAAAGAAGAGAGGGACAACTAAAGTGCGCGATCCCAACGTAGCATCAACTAGCGAAGTGCTGCCCGCACAACAAGTTGATCCTGGTGCGGACGGAGGTTTGGCTGCACTCCCGATAGAAATGCGAGTCCATATATTTGAGGCTGGTTTAAACGCTTTAAACCAACGCCTTGAAGTTACTGAAATAACTTCACCTCGCTTGAGTCTACAGCTTTAGAAGAACTGGAAGACGTCAAGGAGACTTTGGATCGCTTAACCGGTGAGCACAATGATGGACTGACCAACCTTGAGCTTAAACTAACCGAGATTGTATCGGCATTGCATGGGGAAGTTGAAGCCCTAAAGCAACAACTGAAGGCAGCAAGGTTAGCTGAGCGCACTGATCATGTTACTGTGCGCGAAACCAAGATCGAGGGCCCAAAACCGAAGGAGTTTAGGGGCGACCGAAACGCTCAAGACGTAGAGAACTTCCTTTGGAGAATGGAAGACTACTTTGAGCACCTCAACATAGTGGATGAGGCTGCCAAGGTTCGTGCAGCAACTATGTATCTTACCGACACCGCCATGCTTTGGTGGAGGCGGAAGATGGCGGATATGGAGAAAGGTATTTGCTCCATCAAGAGCTGGGGTAAGTTCAAGCATGAGCTGAAGCGCCAGTTCTACCCCCAAAACATTGTCAACGAGGCTCGTCGGAAGTTGAGAGAGCTTAAGCAGACAACGTCCATTCGTGAGTACGTGAAGGAGTTCACGAAACTCATTTTGCAGATTCCCAACATGTCTAGTGAGGATCTGTTGTTTTATTTCATGGACGGCCTTCAAGGCTGGGCCAAACAAGAGTTGCAGCGACGTCAAGTCAAAGACGTTGATGAAGCCATAGCTGTAGCGGAGTCCTTAACTGATTTTAGGACAGAATCTACCAAAGCAAAGGACACCAAAGGCAAGCCAACTAAACCTGGAGGAGATCGTGCATACCGTGACAAAGGCAAGCAAGCTGCTGGCCCTAGTCGTGATTTCAAAGGAGAAGGCAACAGAAATTCTCATTGGCGCAACAGGTACAATGAAAGGAAGAAGGCAAATGGTCCGCACAATGGCTGCTATCTTTGCAAGGACCCCAGCCATTTCTACAAGGATTGTCCTACTCTGGGCAAGTTTGGTGCCATAATTGCAGCGGAACGAAGACAAGCTGATGGAGCTGCACAAGCCAATGCACAAGCGGGAGAGGCTGCTGCTCAAGATAAACATGATGTAGCTCATCTTGGCCACATGATGCTTGGTGCGTTGCTGACAAAGGAACCTGCTTTGAAGCAGGCTGTTCGAGACAAGCCTGGCCTTGCCCAAATGGGTCAGACTTTGCTTGGTGCTGTGATGGGAAGGGAGCCCAGGTTGAGGCAAAAAGGGTCACTGTTCGTTGATGCAAGACTTAACGGGCAGCATGTTCGTATTATGGTTGACACTGGCACGACACATAACTTTGTGACTGAAGCAAAGGCTAAGTCACTTGGACTTGTGTTTAGTCCCAGCAGCTCTTTATTGAAGACGGTCAATGCCGACCTCACCAACGTGAACGGAGTTGCATGCAGCACAACTTGGGTGCTTGGCAGGGGAGTGTGAGTTTCTTTGTCGCTCCCATGGACGTATTTGATTTGGTGTTGGGTTTAGACTATTGGGATGAAGTCATGGCGTTTATTTCCCCTAGTCTAAACCAGATTTATATTTGGGATCCGAGGGTCCTTGTGTGGTACCAACAGTTCGCGTGCCGCAAGTTGTGGGTCAGTTATCCGCAATGCAAATTGTGAAAGGCTTCAAGAGAGGTGAAGCCACGTTCTTAGCTGCTGTAACAGAGATCGAGGAGGACAAGGTTGATGAAACCTTACCCCCATGTGTGCAGCAAGTTCTTGTTGAGAACAAGAACGTTATGCCCGAAGAACTTCCCAAACGTTTGCCACCACGTAGGGAAGTTGATCATCAGATTGAGCTAATTCCGGGAGCAAAGCCACCTGCTATGGGTCCGTATCGCATGGCACCTCCAGAATTGGAGGAATTGAGGAAGCAACTAAAGGAGCTGCTCGAGGCGGGACATGTTAGGCCGTCAAAGGCACCATTTTGAGCATCAGTTTTGTTCCAAAAGAAGCAAGATGGGTCGTTGCGGTTATGCATAGACTATCGTGCTCTCAACAAAGTCACGGTAAAGAACAAATATCCAATCCCGTTCATAGCAGATTTATTTGATCATCTTGGCCAAGCCAAGGTGTTTAGCAAGATGGATTTGAGCAAAGGATACTATCAAGTTCGCATAGCCGAGGGAGATGAGCCAAAGACGACTTGTGTGACCCATTATGGAGCCTTTGAGTGGTTGGTGATGCCTTTTGGCTTAACTAATGCACTCGCAACTTTCTGCACATTGATGAACAAGTTGTTCCACCCGTTTTTGGATCAGTTTGTAGTCATCTATCTTGATGACATTGTGATTTATAGCAGCTGTATGGAGGAACATCTTGAACACCTCCGCAAAGTTTTCCAAATTCTAAGGGAAAACGACTTGTTCGTGAAGAGGGAGAAGTGTTCTTTTGCCCAGTCCCAAGTGCAATTTTTGGGGCATACGATCAGTCAAGGACAGATTCGGATGGATAGCAACAAGGTCGCG